GGGGGGCGTGGTTGTTGATATGAACTTGGTTGTTTTATTTGAGGGCGTCGTAGATGAAGTACGCATGGTTGGTAATGTGCGCGTGTTTATTGATGTGGGCCTGGTTAAATGGCGTGGGCGTAGTTAAATGGTGTGGGCGTGGTTAAATGGTGTGGGCGTGTTTGTCTATGAAGTCTTCTTAGTTGACATGGGCCCGCTTGTAATATGTGGGTGCAGGTCGATGTTGAGGCCACAGTGCTCGGTTAATAGAGCGCACGAGTGCTAAGCTGATAGTCTTTGGTTCGGATCCGGGCTTAAGTTTGTAATACGTCGCTGAGTCATCTTAGATACTAGCCATCGGTACCCGTTACAGGTGAATGATAGGCCTCTATATTTTAATGTTAAAATAAAAGTAAAGTTTCCCTTTCAAACCTAACGGTCTATGGGGTAAGTGAAGTAGAGTTCACTTGTTTCTGTGACCTCGGCATATAAAGAGATAGTGTGGTCAGCACTATGTCCAGCCGCCTTTACTTTCCCTAACATGATTTCGGTACCCATCAGAGTTGGGTGGACTCAGGGACGGTCTACTGACTTGAACCCGGATTCAAACTCGAAACTTACGGGTTAGCAATCCAGCTCTCTACCGCTAGACCACTCCGTCCCACATTTTAATGTTAAACTTGTTTGAAAAAGAAATTGTATAAATAGTTATTAGTCAATACGCTCAGGTTTTACTACACGTTGAACGATATTAGTGATAAAGCAAAGATGTAACTACATAGCTAAAAATCCGACACATTCAAAATAACAAAAGCTACCAATACCTATAAGGAAAACCAAATTATATACATTATTATTCAACACAACACCATATTAAATCCACATACTGATTAAGAGACTTAAATGATCCCGTTAGAAACACGGCTGTTCCATGGAATTTATGTTGTTTTTAAAAGTAATTTGTATTAGTTTTGGCCGAGAAAAATTGTATAAATTTAATTAATTACGTCTTGATAAGTAGATCTACAGACCTAAATCAAATTTGAATGAAATAGTTTATTTCGTCATATTTTAAAATTGGAAGATTACGCCATTAGTGTTTTGTACTTTCCGAAATTTGAACATGTGACATGTGACGTCATTGTTTCTAACCTTGTTGTCACCACGTTAAACACTTTTCCGGTTGCATAATGAAAAACGTATCTCTAAATTCGAATATGCCTTTACTTTTATTTTCATTCTTTAAGAACATTTATTCCATCATTCAATACATCCAACATATTATTTTCAACATAAGTCTGTATCTTTAAGTTCTCCATATATCGCTGAAGATACTGGTCTTATAGCCTAAAAATGTTGCGGATAGAGAGAGAAAAGTGCGCACATGGGCTTTTATATATTAGGAGGTTGGGTACTTGGCTGACGTATTACCGTTACTTGCTGCCGTGGGTGTGTTGGCTGTTGTGAGCGTGCGTGTTGCTGTGGATATGTGTGTGTGTTGCTGTGGATGCGTGTGTTGCTGTGGATATGTGTGTGTTTCTGTGGATGTGTGTTTTTCTGTGGGTGTGTGTGTTTCTGTGGATGTGTGTGTTGCTGTGGATGTGTGTGTTGCTGTGGATGTGTGTGTGTGTTTCTGTGGATGTGTGTTTTTCTGTGGATGTGTGTGTTTCTGTGAATGTGTGTGTTGCTGTGGATGTGTGTGTGTGTGTTGCTGTGGATGTGTGTGTGTGTTGCTGTGGATGTGTGTGTTGCTGTGGATGTGTGTGTTGCTGTGGATATGTGTGTTGCTGTGGATATGTGTGTGTGTGTGTTTCTGTGGATGTGTGTGTTTCTGTGAATGTGTGTGTTGCTGTGGATGTGTGTGTGTGTGTTGCTGTGGATGTGTGTGTTGCTGTGGATGTGTGTGTGTGTGTTGCTGTGGATGTGTGTGTGTTGCTGTGGATGTGTGTGTGTGTTGCTGTGGATGTGTGTGTTGCTGTGGATGTGTGTGTTGCTGTGGATGTGTGTGTTGCTGTGGATATGTGTGTTTTTCTGTGGATATGTGTTTTTCTGTGGATGTGTGTGTTTCTGTGAATGTGTGTGTTGCTGTGGATGTGTGTGTGTGTGTGTTGCTGTGGATGTGTGTGTGTTGCTGTGGATGTGTGTGTGTGTGTTGCTGTGGATGTGTGTGTTGCTGTGGATGTGTGTGTTGCTGTGGATGTGTGTGTTGCTGTGGATATGTGTGTTTTTCTGTGGATGTGTGTTTTTCTGTGGATGTGTGTGTTTCTGTGAATGTGTGTGTTGCTGTGGATGTGTGTGTGTGTGTTGCTGTGGATGGTTTGAAAAAAATGGCTATAAAAAAGACTCGTCGAGTAATAACAACATAGCTGTATTTAACATGAATCGCAACCAAACACTCGTCAGCTGCCCTCGTTGTTTGTCAATAGCTCAACCCAGCTGGGCCCTTCTACTTTCGCTTCCGGCGATCATGTTAATATACGAAACGTGACGAACTATGTTTTTATTTACCCAAAAACACCCAAGGAAAACTTAAGTCTGTTAACCGGACCGAATCTGAGGATGCTTAATAACGATTGTTTTTAAAAAGATTCGGCGCTGTTTTGTGTCGGGGTGACATCTCGCGATGTTAGCGAGAATGGACGAGATTTGAGGACCTGAATGGAAACTTCAAAGCGGCGGACGTCATCCATAAAATGACGCTGCATTAATCCGGATAATGCGAGTGTGTTGAATGAGTTATGAGTGGGGCTCACTTTCTGCCGGCTGGAGGGGGGTTAGGTTGATGGAGTGTTCTGTTCAACTTTGATCAAAGACGATCGGAAATCCGCGAGTAAGCGTCGAGCAGAGTTGCAGGTGATACTGTTGCTTATAATCACGTATCTCGTGATACTTGTGTTCGAACTACTTACGCTTGTAATTTACAATAGCTGAACATTTTAAAGTAACAACTGGGTTGTTGTATTTACAATATGGGGGGGGGGGGGGGGGATTGCCCGGGGGGGGGGTTGATTTTAAAGCGGTGTCTGTCGACTCTTACCAGCGGCCCCCAGCATACGGGCTGGCACTGTTTACCTGGGCATTAGGCATCCGATGATGATGAACCCTCCCCCTTTCATTCTCCTTCGGTACGTCCAGTTATCGATAATGTTTTGAGGCGCTCAAACGTTAAGTCAACAGCTTTCTAACTTCGTCGGCCGCTCGAGAATGTTGGCTTTGTTTCAGCTCCCTATTTTTCTTGGACTTAAAATGGATGCAAAATGTCAACGGCGAATCGCCGAACGGTGTTGTGGGCGACTGGAGGCAAATGTAAACGAAAAGAATGGTTTTAGCGCGGGTGTTCTTGGGAGTCCGCGCTAGTAAGTACACAGTCGGTGAGTGTTGAGTCAAAGGATGCCTTACATAACGGTTTTTTTTAAATGTTGTTAGCATGCTGGTGGGGTGGGGTATGTAAACAAACAGATGGAGGAAGTGATGGAGGAAAGGGTCCAGAGCTGAGCTTAGCAGACGAGAAATGAAAAGATGTTATAGATGTTAAAAGATGAAATGTAAATAAGGTGTTAAAGATGTTGGCGGGTGGGTTTTTGTTTTTTTTATCCAAGATAGGGGTCGATCGATAATTGGTTTTAAGGTTGATAGGGGGGGTGGGGGAATGAACCTGGGTACGAGGGGGGGGGGGGGGGATAGAGTGTTATGTACTCTACGCGTTGGGATCTTAACGTGAATAGCACCAATCTAATCGCATCCTGGTATACTTTACAGGTAGCAGGTCAGTGTGACACAGTCCATCTTACATCTATCAAGAGATTTAACATTCCTCAGTACCATTACTTGTTTGCGTTGAACGTTTTAAATGAATGATCAAATAAGTAACCAACATGCCTTATTTACTCTCATCGCCATCTTAAAGTTACCTAAATAATTCATTGTATGTTATTAGGTAAGATAGATTGATGTCGATCTATTCCACACTTTTTAAAAATAATTATACCAATGTGAAACGCAAAGAGATTTTTAGACAATATTTCTACTCTATGAACGCCATAATATCCGTCCCTATATTTGGTTCATTCGCCTATTTTAGCGCAATACTCAAATCTTCAAACAGGTTTGCGTTGTTAAATTTAAACAAACACACATCCAATTCCTTAGATATCATTGCTTTCTTCTGACAACCTCCAAAAACAAATATCTTACTCTTTGTCGCCGTGGAAAAAAAATGGTTTTATCATCATTGATGACCACAAATGATATCAAAAGATGAAAGAAATTTGAGCGGGGCTGGTCTGGGCGGGCATTAATCTGGTCGTCTGGTGTTTGATCGTCTGCTGTGTTAGGTGTGTCACTATTCCTGTTTTATCTGTTGGCTGATATGGTCACGTGTGAACCACGGCACGTGAGGAAGTCTGGTGTACCTTTGAAGCAGGCAGGGGGTAGGCGATGGGGGTGGTATGTGTGTGGGGGAGGGGGTGCATTAGAGGTATGTTGTGACACCGTGGGGTATCTTATATAAAAGCAGGGGGTATACATTTGTAATAAGCTACGACACCACTTAATGAATCAATTAGTAAGGGGAAAAAAAAACAAGGCTTGAGCTATTACTCAACGATGTATGTAGAACATAGAACAAATTGTCAGGTTTGAAACGTAAGAAGGATAAAGAAGAGAGTAGATGTAATAGAATGATATTTAGAACATAGATTGAATTACGCACTGTACATCAACTTATGTGAATAGAGTCAGTCTAAAGTTACTGTGCACATTTGACCAGTAGTCTTCTGTCAAGTTTCCAACTGTAATTTAAAACTAAACTAATGACTCCAATATCTTGCCTCGCCACTGACTCCTTGCTTGTTAGACTCCCGACTTACCGAGTCGTGTTTGTCCAGATTAGCCTCACTAACGACTCCTGTTTTGTCCAGCGAATTGAGTCTGACTCGCCAAACTAATGACTTCAAACCACCAATCCAATGATCCAATGACTCCTGACTCGCCCAACTAATGACTCATTAATTTTATTGCAGGTCGGATATTGGTGGACATCCCGTGTAAGGTCTGCCAGGATCACTCATCAGGCAAACACTACGGCATCTACGCTTGTGATGGGTGAGTACTGTCTTCATTCCCTTACACACTCACTGGTTCGTCATTGACACGTCACGGAAGTTAAGCAAACACAAACCTCATTCAATTATACAATTTGGAATGCCATCGTGATACAAGTTACCATCCAGCTCTAAAACTTAACTATTTATCAGACAAACTATAACTCTAAACGCAAGTCGAGTATCCTAACCTTTACTCAATAACCCGCTGTACCTGGGGCTTAACTAAAAAAAAAATTTGACTCGAATTAAGCAACATTTTAACTCTAAATACACATTTCTTTAAGACTGCCAACATCCTTTGTTCACAATAATATCATTTCATTAAAAAGTAAATAAACACAATTTCGATTAACTTAAGTGTAAACCAACTACCCCATTCTCTAATCCTTTTAAAACTATTAACTGTTCAAACTTTCCTCCCCCACACCCCCACACCCCCCACAAGATCCACCCTCACACCTGCCTTCTCAGAGGTCAACTTTCGACAACTTGTATCTTAAAACGCATCCTAGCATAACGCCAACCAATTTAAGAAGCAAACATTCTTTGTTCAGCCCGGCTATTGATTACCCACCCCCCTCCCCGACCCCCCCGACCCCCCAGACGTATTTGCACGACGGAAAAACCTACGAGACCGACTCACCCCACAGTTAGCGGAAGTGGAATTACGCGCCGTGCGCAAACACCATTAACACGGGGATAAAATGGCTTTATCAAACCTCATGCACGGAGAGAAACATGAAAAATACACAAAAATAAGCACCTTTTTTTTTATTGGTTTGCTTGTAACAGCGGGTGTGGCGTGTTTTCTCATTTTCTCACCTCAACCTGCGCGTTCAGAAACAGTAGGTTTTAGAGTTTGTTGGTCAATACTAACAGACACGATTCATTATAACATTTAAATTTTTAAATCAAAATTTTACACACACACACACACACACACACACACACACACACACACACACACACACACACACACACACACACACACGCACACACACACAAACACACACACACACGCACGCACACACACGCACACACACACATGCACGCACACACACGGACGCACACACGGACGCACAAACACACACACACACACACACACAAACACACACACACGCACACACACATGCACACACACATGCACGCACACACACGGACGCACACACGGACGCACAAACACACACACACACACAAACACACACACACGCACACACACATGCACACACACATGCACGCACACACACGGACGCACACACGGACGCACAAACACACACACACACACACACACACATATATATATATATATATATATATATATATATATATATATATATATATATATATATATATATATATATATATATATATATATATATATATTTATTTATTTATTTATTTATTTATTTATTTATTTATTTATTTATTTATTTGTTTATTTATATCATGCTAATTAGTTTTTTCATCCCTTTCAGATGCGCAGGGTTTTTTAAGGTATGTACGATCCGTTTTTTTTTTTTTTTCACTTTCCAGTAATATTCTCAGCCCCTTAATCCAAGAAAAATAATCTTTTCACCCGTCCACCCCTCCTCCTCAATTCTATTTGTTACCATTTTGTTTCCAGAATGATCCGCTTTGCTGACTATTTGTTACTTGTATCCGACCATTGAGCCGAATGTTTACCTTCCGCCATGTTGTCTTCCGGCACTTGTGTAGGTTTTGGGGGGAGATAATCATCGGACACTTACAGGACACAATGGCTTTGTAATGGAGCCATCAGCACGGTTGCGCCCCTTGTTAGAAAAGCCAATTGGATTCGGTGGGATCGCTGACTCCGGGTCACCCCACCAATCTTTGTCGCGGCGCCGCGGTATTTTTTTGTGTTGTTCTGACCGGTGTCGTGTCAATTTTTGTCCTCCCCTCTTAAGTTATCCCTATTTGACAAGAGCGGGGCCCATGAATGCGAGTCGTTGAAGAGTTAATGAAAAAATCAGAAAGTGTAGAAAACCGCTGGGTTGGGTTGGTCGAAGGCTTGAAAAGTCGACAGGATTTTGGACATGGAGAATACTTGACATAAAGGACAGGGGAACCGTAGCGGATAAAAACTGAGCCGGAAATTTCCGGGGGTGCCGGTCGTGTGAAGGAGTAGGCTGGGATCTTTCTGTTTGTCTTGACTTTGAAATTAGGGTGTCAGAGAGTGATGAAGGTGTCAAAAGTTGATTGTAGCACAAGTTTTTTTTCTTCTTTAGATTGAACGACGTGTGTGGTTTGGTGTGAGGTGTTTGTTATGTGAGAGTTTGAGGTCTGTATCTGTGTGGGATGAAGGTGTGGGTGTGTGCAAGGTGAAGGTTTGATTAAGTGTGGGGATTTTGTTAGATGTGAGTTTGAGGTTGTATGTGTGGGATGAAGGTGTGGGTGTGTGCAAGGTGAAGGTTTGATTAAGTGTGGGGATTTTGTTAGGTGTGAGTTTGAGGTTGTATGTGTGGGATGTAGCTGTAGAATGGTGTGACGTTATGGTGTGACTTAGTTTGTGCTGGGTATATTAGCATCTAGTGCAATAACATTGTATGCACGTTTGGTGCAAAATTAGCCTTGTAATTGCACATTATTCTTAGATGCACCAAGACAAAAAAATGGGGTTATGTTTGGCGTTATATTTGGGTTATGATTGGGGGTTATGTTTGAATTATGTTTGGGTTATGTTTGTGGTTGTGTTTTGTGGTTATTTTTGGGGTTATTTTTGGGGTTAAATTTGGGGTTATGTTTGGGGTTATTTCAAGTGGAACTCCGGAGAAAAAAGTCCGGAAGAAACACTGGTGGGATATATATTGAATTATGTCAAAATATCGAGCTAAAGCGTGCATATACCGAACGCATATGAGCTGTGTGACGTTCACTTGGTAGAACTAACGTTTTTAAAAAAAATATGTTTTGTTTTTACTGACCCCAGATATCACCTAGCAAATGTTCCAATAATCTCTGATCAAACCATAGTCCCTCACGACAAGCGTGAAGTCGGGGAATTTCGGAACTCTACCGGCGGGACTAAACGTCTCGTTATCCAAGGGTCGGGGGGTGCCCAACTTTAAAGGGCACGGGAGGTGACGGGAGGCTTTTTTTGTGTTTGAAGTCACTTGGATACCAAAGCCCGCGCTAGTCGCCCAAGTTTGGCTTCTTGTCTGAACTTTCTGGTGTTTTTTATCTGAAATATGACGTCACATGTTACATACCACGCAGTGCTTGACTTCCCGGATGTGACGAACTGGTCATTAAAACACGTTTTATTGAAACTGAACGGGTCAATACCTAGACCTTTAGTCTTCAGCTGAGAGAAGTTGGTATTTACCTACTTAGTTGGCCAAATACGATTTTAATATGGATTGCTAGTTTTAAGACAATCGGAAAATATATAGACAAAAAATAATATTCCTTATATATATATATATATATATATATATATATATATATATATATATATATATATATATATATATATATATATATATATATATATATATAAGGAATAGCTCGAACAACAATGTTGCCATCTAGCCCCTGATATCAATGTACACAATGTGAACTGAGGGTGGCTGGCTCAGGTAGCCCCGCGCCTTCTCCATGTCCCCAGACGTGTTTTCTACATTAAGTGGACTTAAGCACAAAGAAACATATGTAAGCCGTTTCTCCAGCTACAAGTCCCGTAATCCCCGTGTTTATAAAAACTAGATTCGGGCCCGATTAGAAAGTTTGTCTCGCCCCGTCCCAGGGGCTAGTCTTCCCCGGGTCCCGGATCAAAGAATGCCAGGCATAACTCGACTTCGTCTAAAACAATAAGGGGAGGCAAATACTAGTGTCGTGAACACCGAGCTACGCAGGCTACAATCGACTTGCCGGCCGCACGAAAGAAAAAAAAAAAAGTTCAAAAGGAGGGATAACGTGACATCGATTGATACTAAAAGTGATATCAGATTTTAAAAATTTTTAAAAAATATTTTAGCTCAAAGGATTAGAATTCGGTTTTTTTATTCAATCGATGTATTATAACTCGATTCGTTTTGTTCCTAACTTCATTTATTTGTTCAACTGATTCTAACTTTTCAACCTTTAATGGAGAATATTGATTCAAGTATCAAGCAAATATTGGCGTTCTGATGGCCGCCGTACAATGGGACACTAAAAGCTGCCGCGATCGACAAGTTCGCGGCAACATTGTCATCAGTTGGCGGTCTATGTTTCCGCTTGTGAAACACGGTGTTGTCTCGCCGATTTTTTACCGTCAAATACCTCTATCCCTGACTTGTCAGTCAAAGCTTAGCCAAGAACGACAACCATTTTCAGCACTTGTTGTTTCGGGGTTGACTCCCCTGTTCGATAAATCTTGGCCAAACACAGCCAAAATCCGTGAATGCGGGACTTTGTTTTGGCTCGTGGGATAGCCTTTTGGCTTTAGGAGCGGGAGTGGAACGAGAGAAAAGTCACACGAGATGTGCCGGACACATTCAGACCTGTTGGACAGACGCTGACGTCATTGTAGTGACGTCATAGTGACAGGACCATGGTGGTTAGAAGATGACGTCATAATGCTGGCGTCACAATAGACATGGATATGCTGGTCAGACGATGACGTTTTCACACTGACGTCTTATATACAGGGACTTGATGAAGGGTTACACAATGACCTCATCGTTCGTGCGTTATAGACAGGGACTTGTTGGTCAGACAATGACCTAATCTTACGCTATATACATAAGCCTTAATCTTACGCTATATACAGAAGCCGTAATTCTACGCTATATACAGAAGCCTTAATCTTACGCTAAATGCAGAAGCCTTAACCTATATAAAAAAAGCCTTGATCTTACGCTATATACAGAAGCCTTAATCTTATACTATATAAAGAAGCCTTAATATTACGATAAATGCAGAAGCCTTAATCTATATACAAAAGCCTTAATCTTACGCTACATGCAGAAGCCTTAATCTTACGCTATACACAGAAGCCTTAATCTTACGCTATATACAGAGAAGCCTTATGGTTGCACACTACCATCATAATACGATGTAGTGTATTATAATTGTATTGATGTGTAGATGGGCAAATGGACGAGAGTTTGAGATTTGTCTTCTTTATCTTTCACAGAGGTCAATACGTCGCAACAGACAGTACATATGTAAATCCAGGGGTCAAGGGTCATGTCCGGTTGATAAAACTCACCGGAACCAGTGCCGGGCGTGCCGGTTGAAGAAATGCATGGAAGCCGGCATGAACAAAGATGGTAGGTCTTTTTTGTCTGTCTGTTTGTAGAGCTGTTTGTTTGTAGGTCTGTTTGTTTGTAGGTCTGTTTGTTTGTAGGTCTGCTTGTTTGTAGGTCTGTTTGTTTGTAGGTCTGTCTGTTTGTAGGTCTGTTTGTTTGTAGGTCTGCTTGTTTGTAGGTCTGTTTGTAGGTCTGTTTGTAGGTCTGTTTGTAGGTCTGTTTGTAGGTCTGTTTGTTTGTAGGTCTGTTTGTTTGTAGGTCTGCTTGTTTTAAGGTTTGTTAATTTGTAGGTCTGCTTGTTTGTAGGTCTGTTTGTTTGTAGGTCCGTTTGTTTGTATGTCTCCTCGTTTGTGGGTCTGTTTGTTTGTAGGTCTGTTTGTAGGTCTCCTCGTTTGTAGGTCTGTTTGCTTTTAGGTTTGTTTGTAGTTCTGCTTGTTGATTTTATTATAGTTTTATAATTTATAAAAAACGTACACGCAAAGAGTTTAAGATAAGCACATTTATAGGAGACTACTCATTTATTCTAAGACATTATGTTTGCGAACCACACAGCCTATTTTATCATTTTATTTTTTACTGTTGTTTTTATCAACAAAAATCTTACACACGCAAAGAGTAGCCTGAGACCCGGATGTATAGGAATGGGAGTCTGTTCATTAAATTTATCCTTGTTTGGTGGTGAATCGCTTTGTTTATATTTTTCATTGATCAATCAATACGGAATTGAACATACGTAGTAAGTTTACGGTTATACGGTGATTTCACAATAATATTAACTAAAAATATGTTGTTTGGGTTCGCGTGCAGCTGATTTAGCCATTGAGGCGAAAAACTCACCACATTTTATTGTTGCTAAAGTACCAAGATCAAAAAAATATTTTTTATAAAAAACAATTTACCGAATATTTTTAAAATCGTTGGTAGAAAGATTTAAAACAACAAGCGTCATGTCTAGATGCAATTACAAACTTAAAAAGAAATAAAACTCGGAGATTAGAGCTAAAAAAAACGATAAATATTTTATTCCTTAATCCACTGCTACTTCATAGTTTTCTACACCAATCTGTCGCTAGTCTAAAACAACATGTTGCAGGGGGGAATGACTCGGTGGTGTGGGTTCTAAGACAATGGGGCCCGGGCGGATAAACCCCGGTGATAATCCGCGAAACAGCTGCGACATTTGCAATCAGCTGGCTCTAAGGTTACACAAACTATCGCCACACTCGGGCTAGAAGCTAACGAAAACTGTCGCTAGTTGATCGGCAGTCGAGTCAGTGATATGACTTTTCCCAGGTGAATGTTGTTACAGGGGGTGGTGGTGTTGGGGGGGGGGGTAGATTTATTTAAGATAAGATGGTATCTGGACGAAAGAAATGGGCTTAAGCCTTGGGTAAACCTTCACTGGGTCAAGCTAGCGGGGTTGGTTTTAGCCGACAAAAGACTAGGGGGGGGGGATCATTTATTTCAAATTTTTGGCTGCTGGGGGGGGGGGGGGGGTCATTTATTTCAAATTTTTGGCTGCTTGGGGGGGGGGGTCATTTATTTCAAATTTTTGGCTGCTGGGGGGTGAGTTGTTGCTGGCTGATAAGTTGGTGTGTGTGTGTGTGTGTGTATGTGTGTGTGTGTGTAGAGGAGTTGGGGGCCACACAGAGGTGGATTCAAAGGTGTATTTGGGTACACAAAGGTGTTTTTGAATTATTTTATTATAACGGCGCTTAAAGGATTATGCTTATTTTTTGAAGGTGTATCATTACAACATCTAGTGCTGTACGAGCCATATAGCTTGCAGGTATAAGGTGTATGCGAGCCATATAGCTTGCAGGTATAAGGTGTATGCGAGCCATATAGCTTGCAGGTATAAGGTGTATACGAGCCATATAGCTTGCAGGTATAAGGTGTATGCGAGCCATATAGCTTGCAGGTATAAGGTGTATGCGAGCCATATAGCTTGTAGGTATAATGTGTATGCGAGCCATATAGCTTGCAGGTATAATGTGTATGCGAGCCATATAGCTTGCAGGTATAAGGTGTAGGCGAGCCATATAGCTTGCAGGTATAAAGTGTATGCGAGCCATATAGCTTGTAGGTATAAGGTGTATGCGAGCCGTATGGCTTTCAGTTATAAGGTATATGCGAGCCAAATGGCTTAATGCATTAGCGTATAATAACCGTATGAAGTACTGGCATAAGGTGTATACTTATAAGCTCTAATTGCTCTAGGCTCCGCGTTTCAGGGAACACCAACATAACAACTTTATTTCTCTCTAAATTCAAGTGAAATATTCATTATGGATTCTTAAATAAATTTTGTTATTTAAAAAAAAATGCCCTAATCAATAATTAAAAATATTTAAAAAATAATTGTTATATTTTAAAGCAATGGCTAGCAAGACACATTAATTTTTTTACATATCGACAACCCCCCCCCCCCCTCCCCTTCACTATAAAGTTGTACCGTGTTTTATTAAAACAAATCTAGGCTTAAGTAAATGCCGCACACAATAAAGGAAAGAGCACTCCTGTTGAACCATTTAGGGGGAGTGAAGCCGAGATGGGGACATTTGATATTTCTAAACTAAAGTAAACTCGAATACAACGGCATCGATTTCTTATTACAGCACTTAGCCTAGGTCGATAAGTTCCGCTTTTTTATGCCGGCTTAAAGTCAGATAAAGGGGAATAGGAGCCCGCTAACTAGGGGAGGGGGGGGAGGCACATTTATTGGATTAGCTGGATGGGGCGTTAGGATTTAATGGGTTTACAGTGAGAGAGTCAGCGACTAGAAACGGATGAAATCCGTTAGGGTTAGGGTAAGAAATACAATTAATTGTGTGTGTGGGGGGGGGGGGGGGGTAGGTGAGACACGTACGAGTTATGTCCGCTTGAATTAACAGCTGTACAAGGAACATATGTTTCGGCTGTTAAAGTATTTACGGACTTATTTTTCTGTTGTAAAGGTTTCAACGTTAGGTACGATCGAACAGATTTTAAAGTCGATAATTTCGAATCAGTGACGTTCAACTTTCGCAGGAAAAGTTGATTAAAATTTGATTTACGGGTTGATTTTACCCCGTGCCTCATGTTTCATTTAACCCCCCCCCCCCCCCCGCACGTCTAATCCCCCCACCCCGGGGTTGACACTTTATTTAATTAGCCGGTAACCCGGTCCAACGGCATCAGGCAGACGACAGCAGTCAAAAGACGGCAACTGTCATCGCGACCTCGCACCATCCCGCCACGACAATCAGAACAGCGGGGACAATTTTTCCACAAAATTGAAACCCTAAATTTGTCCGCCCGGAATTAAAGACCGCCGGTGGTGCGGGGGGGGGGGGGGGGGGGGGGAGGGAATCTGAATCATAATGTCATTCATGTGTAGTCTGGTCGTTAACAAATGGTCAACGAGGGTGTGGGGGGGGGGGGGGGGTGGGGGGGGGGGGTGGAGGCAAAGCCGTGCAGGCAAGGCGAAACGTTTGCTCATTTTTGGATACAAAATAACAAAATTCTGTCCGTGAAACTTGAGCGCCGAGCGGGAGCCAGAGCCAGATATTAGCCAATTACGGCAAGCTTTGTCGGCCGCGCTCCGGACCGTCTCCGCTTATCGTTTGCTCACTCTCGACTTTCACGTCCCGGGCACGTCCAGCAGCCCACGTGAGACACGGGACAATACGAGAACACGGCCCTCGTCCCGAGGAGGGGCCGCGATAAGCTGGCTGATCAGCCGGCACGGGGGGAACTTGAGAGGCGATCACTGTATCTGCCTCATCTGGTCCTCATTAGCATCTCTTCCGTCAGGAAACGGGAAGAGTTTCAATTTGTTTCAACCTTCCCACCCTTCTGTCCAATGCAAATTTTGGACCATGTTGGCAATCTTTTGGTCAAATAAATTTTTTTGGACCTTCCTCGTTACCACTCTGTCCGATACAAATGTTGGACCTTCAGTTCAAATACATAATTTTGAGCCTTCGATACCATATTCTGTCTAATACAAATTTCGGTTCATAGTCGCTAACATTCTGCCAATAATTTAAAAACCATCTTTGCGATATTTTGTTTAATATAAATTCTGGATCTCGCTTCTCTGTAAATTAAATTTTGGACCATCTTTCTCAACTTTTGTCAAATACAAATTTTGGACCATCTTTCTCAACTTTTGTCAAATACAAATTTTGGACCATCTTTCTCAACTTTTGTCAAATACAAATTTTGGACCATCTTTCTCAACTTTTGTCAAATACAAATTTTGGACCATCTTTCTCAACTTTTGTCAAATACAAATTTTGGACCATCTTTCTCACTTTTTGTCAAATACAAATTTTGGACCATCTTTCTCAACTTTTGTCAAATACAAATTTTGGACCATCTTTCTCAACTTTTGTCAAATACAAATTTTGGACCATCTTTCTCAACTTTTGTCAAATACAAATTTTGGACAATCTTTCTCAACTTTTGTCAAATACAAATTTTGGACCATCTTTCTCAACTTTTGTCAAATACAAATTTTGGACCATCTTTCTCACTTTTTGTCAAATACAAATTTTGGACCATCTTTCTCAACTTTTGTCAAATACAAATTTTGGACAATCTTTCTCAACTTTTGTCAAATACAAATTTTGGACCATCTTTCTCAACTTTTGTCAAATACAAATTTTGGACCATCTTTCTCAACTTTTTGTCAAATACAAATTTTGGACCATCTTTCTCACCTTTTTGTCAAATACAAATTTTGGACCATCTTTCTCAACTTATGTCAAATACAAATTTTGGACCATCCTTCTCACTTTTTGTCAAAGACACATTTGGACATATCTGCCACATACTTGCCAATGTGTTTGTAGTTTGTCCTGGGCTTTATGTTTTTAAAACGTAGGCCTACTTTGATATTGCAGCTTCAAACGAGTTAACCAACTAGTGTCTGCCTGTGATTATTATTTACCCCCCCCCCCCCCCACCCCTTGATTGACTGGGACAAGAATGTTTACAATCTAAACTTCTGTAAAACACATTAAAATCATTGGAACACATGGTTAATGGGTTCTTCACACAGACCAACCAGATTCAACTTTTTATTTTAGCAAACGAAACAAAAGACACAAACCCAATAAAAACGGAAAACAAATATTCAACCAGTTTTATGTACCCTGTCTCAGCCAGCGATAAGGCAGGCTAGTTATTAAGCTCAAAGAAAAGACAACCGACGGTGTTGTTAAATGATTTCTCATGATTATTTTTTCCCTAAACAAACACCCCCCCCCCCCCCCCGCAACACCCCAGTTGTCGTTCCCTGACCACGATGCAAGAAATCACAACATAATCATCGCGCTCTGTACTTCATTAAATCACATTTTTTTCTCTCGCCCTGGCTGCGATCGTCGCTTGGATCCATCAATCATCGGGGTGCAGTTTTGGCGTTGACTACAATCATGATTGTTTCCACAGCCGTGCAGCACGAGCGGGGCCCCAGGAACTCCACCATCAGACGCCAGGTGGCGATGTACCTGAAGGAGTCCTCAGAGTACGGCAGCGTCCTCAGCGCCACACCTTACAGGTAAATAAACACACGGCTACAGGCTGTGGGGGGGGGGGGGGGGGGGGGACACGACATAATAAACACACTCACAGCTAGAGGCTGGGGCGGGGGACATAGCTTGTACTGCATCAATCATAGGAGAGACAGGACACTAGTAGAGGCTTGAGAGAATTAATTCCCATGTCGTCGCTTCTTTCTATAGGCTTATTTTTATGTGTAAAGATCCATCCACACATGGGACAGATGAAGTAGAGTTTATTTGAAATTGTCTATGAAATTTATATATATATATATATATATATATATACTTAAATGAGTTGCCCCTATTATTGTGTTATAAAATGTGTACGATGACTATGTAGTGTAGCCTGCACAATTCCCAGAACTTTGAATTATCGACTGGTGTCAGGTACTCATTAGAGCTGGGTACATTCAGGTATTTCCTACAGGCCGGACCTCAAGCATACCCCCAATTCGTCTGGTTAACAATCACACGGTCTACCTCTCGACCACGACGTCCCACTTCCCATGTGTAACCTGCTCACGTTTAATTAGCTTCTCATTAGTTACTGTCATTAATTACGACACTTTTTCACAGGCCGCCATTTTACCCCTCCTTTGTGACGTACGAATCTGTTGGTGACGGAGTGACAGTGTCGGCCGTGGACCCGCCCCCATCCATAGCCACGCCCCCCTCTGGAATTCTACTGCACCCGCTGCCCAAGGTGTGTACTAGCTCATGTATCCTGTGTGTTATGTGATGTAGAGCCATCTAGTCTATACACACACTAGAACAACAAACTCTACATAATTTTTTTTTTATTTCCCACAAGTTTACACTTAAAGAAGAAGCAAACATTAATAAGCAAATGAATAGGCACAATGTCACAAAAGCCCACAGAGATATAAAAACAAAAAAAAAACCTCGCTGTTTTAATCGAAACAAAATATTCCCCCTTTTTGCCTTTGCTTTCAACTTTCAAGTTCTGTTTATTGTGATTTGAAAATGTTTGTGAACACCTGCTAGATCTAGGGACAAAAACATCTTGCATAAAATAAACAGCGCTTGGGAAAAATAGTCTAAAAACTGAACAATACAAGCCACACCTCACTGGATTATATGGTAGTTCAAAAAAGGCAACAAAAATGTTCCATTGTATGTTTGAGCCACGCCAATTGTCTTATTGTCAGGCAAAACGTAAGACTTCGACTTTCTATAAATACATATGGAAATACTTCAAACATTAGCGAGCCACCTAAAATATTTTTCAAAGCATACCAGACAATAATAATAAGACCATCAAATCATAAAATCCTGCCAAAGATTCTGTTTTAAATAACCTTGCAACCGTCAAGTTTGTTCCTAAATTGCTTCTAATGCCGAGACTCATACAAATGTCACTTCCGGTTGTTCCAGTACCCTCACGAGATGATCCAGGCCTACGCCAACAACCCCGAGGCTATCTGCGAGGCCGCTGCCAGACTTCTCTTCATGAGCGTCAAGTGGACCAAGTCGGTCCCCGCCTTCGTCACCCTGCCGTTCCGGGATCAGGTACTTCTGCTGGAGGAGAGTTGGCGAGAGTTGTTTGTCCTTGGTGCCGCCCAGTTCCAGATTCCACTGGACGCTGGACCTCTGCTGGCCGCAGCAGGTAAACTTAGATTTCTCCTGGCATCAATACACCTGAAATATCTCATTGTCTATTTGTGTTGAATCAATACATCTAAAATATCTCATTGTCTATTTGTCTAGTATCAATACATCTGAAATATCTCATTGTGTATTTATCTGGTTTCAATTAAATAAGATATATAACATTTCTTGATTTTGGTCATCAAGAAATAAACTGTCCACAATTTAAACACAAAATAACAGTCGTATAGAGTTCAGATATCACCTGACCAGTCACATGACCTTCCACCCTCAGGTGTTACGAGTGAGCACAGTCCAGCAGAAAAGATCGTCTCCATGATGAGTGAGGTGCGAGCCCTCCAGGACACCATCGCCAAGTTCAAGGCCCTACAGGTCGACCCCACGGAATACATTTGTCTCAAGGGAATCGTTCTATTTAAGACAGGTACGCGGGTTCATCACGTCCGCAACTTAGTCATATCCACACAAGGTGTGGGTGGCATTGTCAGCACAGGTTCTTGCTTTTAGGTTTAGGGTTAGGTTGGGTGTTTGACTAAAGTAAACATTAAGGGATGGGTTGAGATATGCTGTCATAATAATATGTATGTCTTACGGAGTAGTAGGCAATAATTCGACTTTGAAATTCTGTATGTAGTCAGTCAATATTAGACTTCAATGAAAGAAATGTTTATAAAATATGCACTATAGGAAATCATCCTTTAACTTCGTGCATAAGACACATGGGGTAGATAAAGTAGAGTTCATCTGTTTCAATACAAGGGAATATTGTGGTCATCTTTATGCCGTGGCTTAGAAGTATAGAGCTAGACTGTTAACCCGTAAGTCTCGAGTTCGAATCCGGGTTCAAATCAGCAAAACGTCCCTGAGTCCACCCAGCTCTGATGGTTACCTAACTCATGTTAGGGAAACTAAAGGCGTCTGTAGGAAATAGTAGCTTAAGTGTGGTTTGATGTGGCTTGTACAATATCCACTGTATAAACTTTGTCTTGTAAAATATACTTTTATGGAACACTTTCTTATAAAAATTACTTTTGGAAAACCATCTTATAAGATATAGACTTATGAAACATTGTTTTATAAAATATCATCTTATGAAAAATTGTTTTATGTTTTATAAAATATCGAGTTTATTGAAAGTACAATTTTTCTCACCCCCCCCCCTTCCCAACAACAGTGTTCGCCAACAACAACACGGAGCTTAAGACCCTGAGGGAGTTCCACTCTGTTGCCAGCCTCCAGGACCAGGCCCAGCTGACGTTAAACCAGTACATTAGGACGGCTTACCCCACCCAGCCCTTCAGGTGAGTGCCGCTTCCCCCCAGCGCCGTGGGGGGGTGATCAATGATTCATTCTGCGCATGCGTCGGGGCTTTTAGGATTAAGCACAATGGTACATTGAAGGGAATCAAGAAATTTCTTAGCGTAGGCGATTAAGTCACATATGTTAGCATTGATACGATTTTATTATTTAAATAAACGCCCCACCCCCCGGCCCCCTCCCCTCTTGTATTACAGACCATTTATACACCATTTTTACTGTGTAACAAACATTAGCAGGGCAAATAGTCTCGACAAGCTGGTTCCAAATGGTTCCAAATTTTTGTTGCCAGAAAGCACACTGACATTACTGTAACTTTTTGCTGTTACTGACATGGTACCGGCTCTTATTTATTGAACCTGACATAGACTTTGTGTTTTTTGATAATCCTGACATAGACTTAGTGTGATTTTTGATAATCCTGACATAGGCTTTGTTTTTGGATGATCCTGACATAGACTTAGTGTTTTTGGATGATCCTGACATAAACTTTGTGTTTTTTTTATAATCCTGACATAAACTTAGTGTTTTTTGATAATCCTAACATACACTGTGTTTTTTATAATCCTGACATAGACTTTGTGTGTTTTTATAATCCTGACATAAACTTAGTGTTTTTTGATAATCCTGACATACAGTTGTGTTTTTTATAATCCTGACATAGACTTTGTGTGTTTTTTTGATGATCCTGACAGACTGTGTCTTTAATGATCCTGACATAGACTTAGTGTTTTTGGATGATCCTGACATAGACCGTGTTTTTTGACAATCCTGACAGACTGTGTCTTTAATGATCCTGACAGACTGTGTCTTTAATGATCCTGACATAGACTTTGTGTGTGTTCCCAGGTTTGGCAAGCTCCTGCTGTTGCTTCCATCTTTGCGAGTGGTCAGCGGAGGAACCATCGAGGAACTCTTCTTCAGGAAAACCATCGGGAACATCCCCATAGAACGTCTGCTGGTGGACATGTTTAAATCCAGCGACTTCTGAACACATCACGTCTGCCACACGAGACTTATCCGGAGGAAATTTTGTTTTGATATCGAGATGGGGGTCATTGTTGACTCGTTGACGCACGTCAGTAACTACTCACCTGCTTTGAAGCTGTGTGTGCAATGCACATGTAAGCTGTGTGAGTGCCCACTAGACACGGCACACGTGTGATGTACTCATCACCATAACGGCGAGTCAACATGTCATCGTCAATATCCACTTGGATGATAACAACACCCTACATTTGAACGACGACAGCGTAGATCAATTTGATGAGAACTTTACGGTACAAACTGGCAACAAATCTTCGGGTTTGTTTAAAGACTATTTCTCCACTCTTGTGATAAACTCTAGAGACTAATCCATCAGGATAATCCGAGCCCAACTGTTGCTTGCCTGATCTGTTTTCTCGCCTAAAACATTCGGTCAAATGGTGGACTTTATTCCTGACACCCCGGCACTAGAAGTACGTGAAATATGTAAACACACAGTCCAATAACACATACTAGTACTCACAACGTGTGCATGCTTGTGTACTACATGACATTTATGACCATCTGCGTCTGAGCAAGCAATAAGCTGTCATCTATAAGTGCAGGATGACATCCACAAGCTGTCTGTGGTTTACTAACTCTATCTTATGAATATAGCGCCATTTTAACAAGAATATGGCGCCGTTTTAACAAGATTGCACCTTAACCACGGTGCGAGACTGAACTATAATTAATTTATTTAAAATTACAATTTAAAAACTTTGTTCCGATTTTTAAAAAAAAGAACAATTCTATGTGTTATTACTTTAAAAAAAAAATTAATCACCTTTTTACTTCTTAGTGTTTAGCCTAAAAATCGCGCGCCACTTTTGCCAGACTTTAATTAAATCACATTAAAAGCGTACGTAATTTGCTTAATTAATATGTTTCAATTACAGAACACAACAAAAGATTTGCTAAGCCTTTGATTGAGAATTTGTAAATATCCAGTCTGTGTTTGTTTTAAAGCACATTCACACACCCATGACACCGGGACTTGAAACAGGGTCTTGATGCATCTTTGAAATTTCAGTACATTTGCAATCTGTGATGTCTATTGAACGTGAAGCGTTATGAGATTATTCTATTTCTGTTAATATGTACATACAGTTATGGTTGTGGTCACGTGATCTACGATATAAATAGATCTTTTTTTTTCATGTGAAATCTTGTGTTTTTTTCTTCTTCAGTGTTTGAATGACGTTACAATAGTCTTTGAATAATCTGTTACATCTCTTAAATACTCAACCTACAGTTTTAACAAATCTTTAGAAATTATATTTAAAAAAAATGTGTTTTTTTTTATTAAGACTGCATGAATGTATAAATAATTAGAATACATTCCACATAAAGATTGAACCAGTAACAGTTGTAGTGAGCAGACATAAGTAATTAAATCAGCAGACTTGGCAATCTGCCAGCTTTATAAATATTACATGATTTTATTAGCAGCTGTAATTTTTGGTTCTAGAGATTCAATAAAAACAGGTCTAATACCACCAGGATTTCAAAATAATAAGATCTAGTTAGAAGTTCTTTCAAATACCAACATATTCTTCTTTACAGTTCGGACAATATTAGATGTTAATTCAATATCAAATTATTTGTTTTACTGTAGTAATTTATACTTCTAAGATTTGACAAGTTATTTCGGTACACTCGACTGCTTCGCCATTTTCTAGCATACGTGTGGTTGTGAGTGGACGATGTTGATAAGATAGGTGGATGCTGTTGATTCATAGCTAAATCTTTTCAATAAAATTTCACTCCTTTTCAATCTTATTACTGTTATAATTAAAATCTGAATATTATATTTTATACTTCTTTCTCTTCAATGCTGATGGCTTAACTTAGGTGTGATAAAAGTTTAATGGGCTTGTGTAAAACTGGTAAATTGTTTGGGGAATATGGTGTACTTGAATGTGGTAGTGAGACTGGTTGAAGTTTGGGGAATGTGGTAGTGAGACTGGTTGATGTTTGGGGAATGTGGTAGTGAGACTGGTTGGTGTTTGGGGAATGTGGTAGTGAGACATGTTGATGTTTGGGGAATGCGGTAGTGAGACTGGTTGATGTTTGGGGAATGTAGTAGTGAGACAAGTTGATGTTTGGGGAATGTGGTGGTGAGAAATGTTGATGTTTGGGGAATGTGGTAGTGAGACTGGTTGGTGTTTGGGGAATGTGGTAGTGAGACAAGTTTATGTTTGGGGAGTGTGGTAGTGAGAAATGTTGATGTTTGGGGAATGTGGTAGTTAGACATGTTGATGTTTGGGGAGTGTGGTAGTAAGACATGTTGATGTTTGGGGAATGTGGTAGTGAGACATGTTGATGTTTGGGGAATGTGGTAGTGAGACTGGTTGGTGTTTGGGGAATGTGGTAGTGAGACGGGTTGTTGTTTGGGGAATGTGGTAGTGAGACATGTTGATGTTTGGGGAATGTGGTAGTGAGACATGTTGATGTTTGGGGAATGTGGTAGTGAGACATGTTGATGTTTGGGGAATGTGGTAGTGAGACAAGTTGATGTTTGGGGAATGTGGTAGTGAGACATGTTGATGTTTGGGGAATGTGGTAGTGAGACGTGTTGGTTTTAGGGGAATGTGGTGAGTCTACATGAAGTTTGGGGAATGAGGTAGTGAGATTGGTTGGTACAAAGACATTGGTCTAGCTAGATTGGTGAGACTTGGATACGCCTGGTTTCACATTAGTCGAAGCGTGACTTGTGTTTTAAAACGTAACACACTCTTTATAACGCGATTCATGCTTTTGAACGTGACATGTAAAACGTGACCCATACTTTAGAACGTGGCAAGTGTTTTAGCTGGATGAACTCAGTATTGTGTTCGGATGGTGTTACTTGATATTATACATTTGGAGGTATCATACAATAAAAACATGAAATCTATGCTCTTTGTCGTCTTCATTTCGTGTTAGTCTGTTGTAGATTTGCTTTTGATATTTGTTGTTTAATTGTTATTACTGTTTACGTAGTCGAACAATAAGTATGTTCTTTGTCTGGAGGGCAACTTGATCTAAGGCAATGGGTGAGATAACTCAGGCTTACGAAATGGTGAAATTAATTTTTATTAACAAAATAAAAAGTTGGTGCATTTGTAGGAGACTGGATACATTTTTAGGGGAATAGTTTAAGTTTTAAGGGTTGCTGAAAGTTTAGGAAAATGTTTAAAATTTTTGGGAAAAGTTTGAACTTTGAGGAAAATTGTTTAGATTTTTGGAAAAAATTGAATATGTAGAAAAGTGGATGAATTAGTAGGATTCTGGATGCACTTTTAAGGGAATGGCTGAAATTTTTAAAGAAATAGTTGAATCTATATAAAAGTGGATGAATTTGTAGAAGACTCGATGCATTGAACTGTTTTTTCTTGGGCTGATATCTCAGCCGTACGCGGTATAGAAGAGATAACATTACATGCTATTATTTTTTTGTTATCAAATGTTGTAAGATCGACAACATAACATATAGTTCTTAATTATCGAATCTATAAATCATTTAATAAGCTGCATTTGCACGTTTATTTTCGGCCCTTGGATTTAGCGGCTTGAAACCTTAGTACACATTGGCGCTTATTTTTAAAATATTCGAAACCACAAACAGGCTGTGTTTTAGTGATAGACAGGGAACATCAGAGCCTAGAAAATAATTTGATTAATAGTCAGGGATGTATGTATAGGCTCAAGAATGTAAACACGATGCACATATTAACTTGAATAATGAATCGATTGGACCATGTGATATTATTAGAGCGCTCCGCCGGTATTATTGGTTAGAAAGTATTGAGTTAAGATATTACACGTTGTATCAATTAATTAGCCAATACCAAATCTAAATTAATATCTAGGGCAGCAGTTTATTATATGTAGAGTTTTTAAATGAAACCTGCACAGTGCAAGTGTTACACATACTTAAGTAAATAATATCAGACCTGAATTAAAATGTAGATCAGCGATTTATATGTGTAGATCTGAGAAATAAATGCACACAGTACAAATTTTACACACGTAATTGTGAGCCTGGAGTCAGGTTTCAATGAATGGGATCGACTTTCAAAACTTTGACATGAAAATCAAATCATCATAGTAGAACAGTCGAACTACCCAGTTCAATGGACTTTGATTATTTAGTGAAGTTTTCTTTCAAATAATATATCACCAAAGTAATATTGATTTGATAAACATGAAACACAGAAATATATATTGATGTAAATAATTTTATTCTTCAAATTACAAATGCACTTATCCACATTAATTTTCGAAAAAAAAATGTAATACATTAATTCAGATAATCTGTAATTCATATTCATGTCACAGGTAAATGTTTTATTTTAATTTAAAAAACTAATTGTTTGGTCAGACTTTATGTAATGGCTAAGTACATTAACTCGAACAGCTTCTTTTTCCGTTGGTGTCCAAGACATGAGGCAGATGAAGTAGTTGATCTGTTTGATGGACCGTCGGCATATGAAGAGATAAAGTGGTCAGCACTATGCTCAGCTACCTTTGCTTTCCCTCAACAATATTAACAGCGACCGACCTACAGAAAATGACTTTTTTTTCATATTTTTACTTTCTCGTATATACGAAGTATAGAGAAAGTCTTGTAATCGTGCAAAAAAAAAAATTGAGATTTTTTACAAATCTCGACGTTTTACAACTCACTGATACGGAAAAACATAATTTTGCAATCTTGTCCGTATGTCTGTGTGTCTGTCTGTGTGTCTGTCTGTGTGTAAACACGATAACTTTAGTACCGTTACAGCTAGGTTGATGAAATTTCATATATAAATATTTTATCAAAATCGTAGATCCTGACCAACTTTTGAGCGATTTCCGATAACCGGAAGTGGTACTTTTTCTACTTTGAATTTTTCAAAAGCCTATAACTTGAGTACTATTTCAGATAGATAAATAAAATTTCACATGTAATTAAAAGATCTAATTCTCTACCATCTTTCAAATTTTGAGTAATTTC